CACATGCGGTCCGTCCCAATAGCCTTTTCACGTCTGGAAGAGGGTTATTTACAACTTTTGAAGCTGCAAAGCACAGTCCTGGACTTAGCTCACCCAGGGGGGATGGGACTGAGAACGATGTATCCCAAATCTGTCATTCTGCCGAGCCGTTGCCTTTAAGCAGTTTATGTCGTGTAAATCATGTTTTCATTTGGTGTATCTCACGTTTAGCGCCGTTAAGGAATTGGTCTCGACAGTTGTGTCGTGCCACTTCGCCATCAGGGCTTGAATCTAGTCCAAACGACGGACTTTTTCTATCCGCTCATCGATGACCCTTATTTGATGGTGAGGATAATTCGGTTCAAAAATGTTCAATCGCACATTTGGTATCGCTAATATTGTATTCTAGGGTCGTGTTACATGCGCGAATGTTCTGAGTGATCTATATGCCATGGGTGTTGTGAATTGTGACAATATGTTGATGCTTCTGGGAGTAGCTGTCGATCTGGACGAACAGGAGCGAAATGTCATTGTCAGGATGTTTATCGAAGGGTTCAAAGTAGGTTTTCTCTCGCTAGTTCATGATTTCCCGTTTGGAGGGGTTTTTGGGTTGTTCTACAAATTAACCAATTTTGTGTGGATCCCTTGTTCCATGCGTTTCCAGTATTATTCGTTATGCTACAGAGCCAATCATAACTGATCCAATGTTTCTTACTTAAATGTTTCTGCTCCAGGATGCAGCAGACGCAGCTGGAACGAAAGTCCGTGGTGGTCAAACTGTCCGATGTCCTTGGCTTCTTCTTGGAGGTGTTGCTACTAGTGTCGCCAACGATAAAGAAATCATCATGGTAGATCGTGCACGACCCGGAGATGTCCTTGTTCTGACCAAACCTCTCGGTGGTCAGGTAAGCTTTTCTTCTTACCTTACTCGAACCAGTGATTTTTGTCACTAAAAGATCTTTACGTTTTTCACATATTCCCATTTAGGTCGCTGTGAATTCCTACGAGTGGCTCAAGAAGAAGAATGGGCGCGTAGAGGAGTATGG